CCTGCCCCCAAAGGCCTGACTCTGCCCTCTGGCCTCTGAGTCTGCAAGGAGTGACCAACCTTGCAGTGGAGCTTGGGCTCTTCCACCTTCCTCTCTCTTTGGGGGGGCCACACCTGGCTATGCTCAGGTTCGGCACTCAGGGATCACTCCTGATAGGGCTTGGGGACCCTGTGGGATGCCGGGAGGGAACCCAGGTAGGCCATGTGCAAGGTCTTACCCGCTGTACAATCTTCCCAGCCTCTACCGTCCCCATCCCCAATCCTATTTGTCCTTATCATGTTTCTCTACATGCTGCCCTCCTGCCCCAGGAAATCGGGCTGATTTCCTGTTCCCTAATCCTGAGCCTCGCTTGTGCCATGCCTGGAAGGCTTCTCCTCACAGGACCTGCTACTTCTGGTTCCATCCAATTTTCATAGACAATATTGAGGGCATGCGGCCATCTGTGTTTTCTTCCTCTCTGCATCCAGGGCAGTTTGATCTGACCCCATCTACTGAGCTGGAATGAAACCCGCCGGCCCTTTCTTGTCTTATTTCCCACGCTTGAGACAAGGAGCCTTCCGGCCTTTCAGCCCGTGGCCCTTCATAGGACTCTCCCTGGCGGGTGTTTTTCTTTTTTTTTTTTTATGGGGGTGGGGTAGGGTCGGGGTGGGGAGCACACACCCAGTATTGCTCAGGGGTTACTCCTCGCTCTGCACTCAGAAACCATATGGAATGTCGGGGATCGAACCCGGGTTGGCGGCGTTCACAGCAAGCGCTTTACCTGCCTATCACTCCGGCGCCCACCCTCAGGTATTTTCAGACCCCGAGTGTTTGGACCCTTTCAGGAAGGGACACGTGTCCCTCACTGGCTGCAGGAAATTTAATCTAATTGACATACTTCTAGTACAGCGATAAGCAAAATGGAACCACTGACAAAAGTTGAAAGTTCGATCATCTCCGGGTGTCTAACTGGCCCAGGGTTGCAAACTAAAAGAACCAATGTTCCTGATTCTCTACACAAAATGTGTTTTTTTTTTTTCTAAGTGAGGGTCTAAGGAGCTATACATGGGAAGAAAACAACAGTACACAGTGAGGAAGGGCCAGGGGGGCCCGCCCCTCCTCCCACCCAGCCTGGCAAAGGGCAGCTGTCAGCTCTGGGCTCCTCCCCTGGGGAGCCCCCTCCCTGCCCTGGGCTGTGGGGAGGCGTGGCCGGCAGGGCTTTCTGTGGCTTGGTGGCTTGGTGGGTGCTTCCTGCCTTCCCTGAGCAAGCCATGGGGGGATGTGGTTGCTCGACTGCGGAACTGGGGGGCTGGGCAGATCAGAACAGGTGTTTTGTTTTGTTTTGTTTTGTTTTGTTTCCTGACCGTCTGAGCCACACACTACTGGGAACAAAACCTGCCTGCGAAGCGTGTGCTTCAGGGGCAGTAGGTGGGTCTTCTGGAACATTCCAGCCAATCTTATCCCAGTGAAACCCACCTCCCTCACCTGACCCTCCTGGATAGCCACAGAGATGGAAGAAAGAAAATCAGCCCCAAGTGGGGGGGATTGGGGGTGGTGGGGTTGGGGGCTTCTCCATTTCATAACCAGACCCTGCGTTGTTGCCTGGGATGGGCTGGGGACGCCACGGGGGCAGGAATGGGCCCCGCTAAGCTGCTGTGGGATTAGCACCAGGCAGCTGGACACGGGTGAAGGGAGGGAGGCAGAGCTGGAAGCCCCGTGGGCAGTCAGCTGCCCTGGAGTGAGGACCCCGCTGGCTGGGCTGCCCATGTCACACCTCTCCTCTGCGTAGGGTAGGGTGCCGGCGAGGTTACACCCCCACTGTCCATGAACTCCTCAACATGGGGGTGCCGGAACCATCCTGGAGGGATTATAGACTTGGGTGCATTTGGGGGCCAGAGTAATTTTTCTCTGAAAAGGGGCTGGTTAGAGGCACAATAAGTCCACGTATCTCTGGGCGCCTTAGGGAGAAGTGGGGTAGGCGGAAGCCTCTGCCTTTCCACCAGCAGGGGTGCAGGGCGACCGGAAGGCTTGACAGAGTGACCCGCTTCCTCCTGCCCCAGCCCACAGCTCAGAGCAATGGGGGCTGAGGGAAGGGGGGCTGTAGAATGCGTCTCCCCAGCCCCCTCTCTGCCACAGCCCCGGTCTTGTTCAGCCGTGGGCGTGGGGGCCAAACCATGGGCATCCGGGGGCAGCTGGCTGCTGACGCCTCTTCTACTCCAGTGCTCTTGTTTCACAGACTGTGAGGCCCAGAGAGGTTAAGGGAAGTGTCTGCGGTCACACAGCCAGACTGTGGGAAAGAAAGAAGCTCAGAACTGCCCCGTGATTACCGCACTTGACAGCACCAGCTCTCAGCCGGCAGTCAGAGTGAAAAGACCTGGAGCCTTTGGGGGCCAGAGAGGAAGCGCAGTGGGTAGGATTTGATCCCTGTCACCCCATAGGGTCCCCTGAGCATGGTCAGGAGTAATTCCTGAGCACCTCAGGGTTAGCCCCCACTCCAACCCCTCCCCCACCCCACCCCCCAAAATCATCACAGCCCTTTTATAAAAGACTTCAGAAATCATTTCCCGGAGCCTGTGAACACAGCCAGGAGAAAGCAAGTGTTTCTGAGAAGGTGACCAGGTAGAAAGGGACACGCTGACTGCACAGGCAGCGGGAGCCAAGGACGCGTCCGTCAGGCTGAGGCCGGCAAGGTCCAGCCCCTCAGCACGCAGCAGCGCTGGGGACACTCATCTACGACTCAGCCATGTCAGCAGCTGAGTTGGCGTTTTTGTATGTTTTCATTGTGCTTGGCTTCCTGGTTCACGCAAAGCTCTTTTGGTGGTTGTTTTCCCTAAGCTATTCTAGCTAAAATCTGTGTAGATCATTGCTAAGATCTCTGATCTAGTGGGTTTAGATGCCGCTTGATGGTTATCTTGTGAGACCGAAGGGACATTAGCTCCCTGCTCAGAGGGAGGCTCGACTTGCCCAGCCAGACCCATGCCAGGCACTTCCCGGGCAGCCGGGGTGGTTGAGCAGAAAGGCAGAAATACTATTTTCTCCAGGCTCTCCCCCTTGCTCCCCATGTTAGCTTTCAACAGAGTGAAAATTTTGTTTTTTTGATTTTAGCATTCTTTAAATGTCAGATGTCAGAGCATGCCCTGTTCCTGGATTGGGGTGTTCTTGAGGACTGGAGAGGGAACATTTATCAACCGGGTACTGGCATCCACGCAGTTCTAGAAAAACCTTTCCCAACCGGGCTCTGCCTTGTTTATAGTAGGTGGTGCTCAGGGGATGCGGAGGGGGTCGGTGGGGTGATGGCTCGGGTGTTCCCAGGGAGCCCCACAGCTGCCCAGCCCCTCTCCTTCCCTCAGGCCCTCATGTGGCAGGGACAGTGGACACCAGCTGGAGCCTGCTGTCTGCCCTGGGCTGGCTGATGCGAATCTGAGAGGACAGGCAGGAGTCCAGGACTTCCCCCAGCTCAACTGCCAGATGAGCTCATGTGTGCAGAGAACTCCAGGCCAAGGCATTTAGAGAAAATGGATATCACCTTCTTCCCAAAGCCATTCTCTGCTTTTCAACCCTCTGGAGAAGTTCTTCCTTAAATATGTTTGTCTCTTTCTCTCATCTCACATTTCTCTAAGTAAATATCGTTAACGATAGGCTGGAGAGATAATACAGCAGGTGGGGTATTTGCCTTGCATGCAGCCGACCCAGGTGCGATCCTGGAATCCTATATGGGCCCCTGAGCACCACCAAGTGTAATTCTTGAGTGCAGAGCCAGGAGTAATCCTTGAGCACCACCAGGTGTGACCCCAAACCAGGTCTGGCTGCCTTGTGAGGCCAGAGGGACATCAGTGTCCATGCTGCATGGGTACTGGTAGCCAACTTTACCAGTCATGACCCACAACAAGTATTTCCCCTTGTAGCCAAGGTGCGTTGTGCCAAAAGGTGGAAGCATGATTTTCTCAAAGGTCCTGTCCTCCCCACCACTTCCCCCCAAATCCCCTAACAGATCCCTAACTCACCTAACTATCTATAGCACTGTCCTCCCATTGTTCATCGATTTGCTCAAGCGGGCCCAGTAACATCTCTGATGTTACTTGTGAGACTTGTTGCTGTGTTTGGCATATCAAATACGTCACAGGTAGCTTGCCAGGCTTTGCTGTGCAGGCGAGATACTCTCGGTAGCTTGCCAGGCTCTCTGAGAGGGGCGGAGGAATCCAACCCAGGGAGGCCAAGTTGGCTGTGTGCAAGGCAAATGCCCTACCTCTGTGCTATCGCTCCAGCCCACTCACCTTCTAGGCATTTTAAAGAGAAGAGGAACCAACATCGAATGATTGGAGCACATTATCCATAGGGAAGATAAGTGTCTTTTAGTGTCTTGGGGATCTTTCTGTGGATGTCTTTCTGGCAAGTCTCAGCGTGAAATATTCCTACTGAAGGATCACAGCCAAAGAATGCTGGCAGGTCACTTATCGACCAAGAAGCCACCGAAACACTGAAGACACACGATTGAGAATGAAGGGATTGGAGAGGTGGGGAAAGAAACTTGCATGGCTGGACTGGGCAGAGGGTACATGGATAAGGTGTTTGCCTTGTCTGCAGCCAACCTTGGTTCAATCCCATGAGCATCTCCCGGCATGAACCCTGAGCACAGAACCAGGAGTAAGTACTGAGTATCATGGGTGTGGCCCCCAAACCGATAAAGTAAAATAAAATAAAATTGAAAAATAAATTTGCATTATTATGGGAAACTCAGGGAGCCCACATTCCCCCAGGGCCCCAGGAAGACACTCAATTTCCTGGGTCTGTAGAAACTGCCTGCCCCCACACACAGGATTCTTGACCCAAATACGTGCAGAAACCAGACTGAAACCTTCATTCACTGTTAATCGACATCAAGAGAAAACTCGACAGGAACACTGGCTATGAAGTGAATTTTCCATGCAATTCCACCTGCTATTTCTCCAGCCCAGGAAAAGCAAGACCCAGGGGACATGTCCAAGGGTGTGGGGTCCAGCCCGGAGAGTGGAAGGGCCTCCTTTCCCTCACGCACCAACACGCCTGGTCTTGTCCCCCATGCCCGCTGGGCTCTGGGCTCCGGGCAGGCGTGGTCACGTCCGGATTATTGGCAGTAAAAGGTGAGCACGTTTTCCTGGTTTCCACGGATCAGGACGACCGGGGGTCTGAGGTCCTGGGACAGGGTCTCCAGCCAGGCCATGTAGAGGGAGCTTGGACACTTCCCTTTCCTCCCGATGGGCAGCGTGCTGCAAGGCAGGAAAGGCTGGTTCCCACCACGCCCAGGGCCCCTCCTCACCCAGCGGCTCCTGGTTGGGTTCCTGCATGCCGCCTCTTCCTCCCCACCTCCAGGATTGACCTTCTGCTGTTCTCCCCAAGTTCTGCAGCCTCAGAGCTTGGGGAGGTGTGTGGAGGGGCGGCCCGATACAACCAGTGATGCTCAAGCCTTCCTCCTGGCTCTGCATTCAGGGATCACCCCTACCCTAGTGATACTGGGGGGGGGGGGGCATAATGGATGCTGGGGATTGAACCCAGGTCAGCTGCATGCAAGGCAAGTGCCCACCTGCTGTACTATCTCTCATCCCAAAGCTCTCGTTTGGTTTGGTTTGGGGGCCACACCCCACAGTGCTCAGCAGCGTTTACTCCTCACTCTGTGCTCAGGGCTCACTCCTAGTGGGCTCAGAGGACCATAAGGGGCTATTGGGGGTGGAACCTGGGTTGGCCACATGCAAGGCAAGCGCCTTCCATGCTGTGCTATCTCTCTGCCCCTCCCCCCAGCATTTCTAAGAAAGCCATAGTCCCTTACGTCTCCTGGAATCTGGTCCCCAATCTCCTCTCCCATCCCCCTCAGCCTTACTCACAGGGATTTGCTTTCTATTCCAGCAAAGAAAAAAAGACCACTTGCTCCAGCCATGGGACTTTTGTTGAGAAACTTGGTTCCCTCTGGGGTCACACAGGCCCGAGAAGAGGCTGCTTCAAAGCAGGCCTCCCTGGTTTCTTTTGTTGTTGGTTTTTGTTTGGGGGTCACACCTAGTGATGCTCAGGGGTTATACTCCTGCCTCTGCACTCAGGAATCATTTCTGGCCATGCTCAGGAGACCAGATGAGATACTGGGGGTTGAATCTGGGTCAGCCGCGTGCAAGGCAAATGCCCTCCCTGCTGTACTACCATTCCGGCCCCTTCCCAGGGTTCTTTATCAGAACACACCCACCTGTCTTCACAGCCTTCCCCTCGAAAAATCCCCCACTCACGCAGTCTCCTGCCCGTCTGCCACCACCCTAGGGCCCATACTCACTGAATGCGCTGCCCCCATGCCCAGGACCCAGATCTGATGCAGGGGGTGGGCACTAAGTATGGCAAGATGACCCCACCCCGGGCCACAAGGATTACAGCATCTCCGCCCCTCCAGTCACTACATGCCTGGTTCCAGCTGAGGGTCAGGCCTGGGAGTGGGGGGGCCCTGGGGGCTCCAAAGACTCCTGGTCCAAATCACTGCCCTGGATGAGCACCGTGATACCCGGGTGCTGCTCAGCAAGTGTCCAAGGGCGCTTCAGGAAGTGACCTTTCCAGCACCCAGACATTCCAATAGTGCCTGGGGGCCTGCTCTCCCCTCAGGGGCCCTGGAGTCAGGACACCCGGTCCTCTCAGAAGACCGCACTTTGTGATCTAGTTCCCCAAAGGGCCCTGGGTCATACCCGGCAATGCACAGGGTTACTCCTGGCTCTGCACTCAGGAATTACCCCTGGCGGTGCTCAGGGGTCCATATGGGATACTGGGGATTGAACCTGGGTCAGTCACATGCAAGGCAAACGCCCTACCCACTGTGCTATCCCTCCAGCCCCTGGTCCTGTCTCTTTCAGTGCAGACTCTAAGCCAGTCTGGGCCCCGGGGCGATGCTGGCTTCCTCGCCAGCTGAGGAGGTGCTTTCCCCGCCTCGTGCTTCAGCCGTGGACCCACAGTCCTGGAACATCGTCGGTTTCCCTTCCCGAACGTGAGCATGCCCAGTTGGCCCTCGCTGAGCTGGAAGACCCCACGCCAGGGGTCTTAGTGGGTGCTTGTGATTATTATCCAACAGGAGACAGCCGAGTGTCATGTTCTGGGGTAGAAGTGCACGGGATCTTCCCAAGCCAACAACTCAAGCTGGGGGTCCCTGAACATGGAGCCCTTATTTAAAATCCTTCGAACTTCATATGGGATCACCACCATCTTCCTTTAGGAAGCAATGGCGATGATGGGGGGGAGGTAAGGGGGAGGGCGCCTGGCATAAAGGCTGTATGTAGGCATGTAGCATGACCAGGTTTGATCCCCCACCACCACACGATCCCCTGAGCATTGCCAGGAGTGCGCCCTGAGCATGAAGCCGGAAGTAGCTCCTAAGTCCTGGCAAGTGTGGTCACCCCAAACAAAAAAACAAAATAAATAAAAAGCAAAATCTGGGTCTCTGGGCTGGTCCTGAGGGCTAAAGTACATACTCTGCGTATAGGGAAATGGGATTTGATCTCTAGGATCTCACGATCCCCTGAAGTGGACACCCCCAAATAAATTAATTATAATTTTATAATTAAAATGATAAAAAGTAACATCCCTGGGCTGGGGGTTGGAGTGATAGTACAGCAGGTAGGGTGTTTGCCTTGCATATGGCTGACCTGGGTTTGATTCCCAGTATCCCATATGGTCCCCCAAGCACTGCCAGGAGTGATTCCTATGTTCAGAGCCAGGAGGAACCCACTAGGGGTGGTGATGATGATCCCCCCCGCCCCCCAAAAAAAAGCTTGAACTGGAGATGCAGTTCAGCAGGAAAGCATGTGGCCTTACAGGTGTGGGAGGTGGGGTTCAATTCCCAGCACTGAAAATACAATTTAAAAACGAATGGGCTTGGAATTCAATCAGCCCAATCAATGGCTGAATAAATAGCAATAGTCCTACATTTACAAAAAAAAAAAAAAAAAAAAAACTAATGGGCTTGCTCAAGGTGGGACAGTGTTCCATTAAACTAGTGTTCCTAGAGATAGAAGACGTCGGTGTTCAGTGACTTTCCTGAGAAAGTTGAGTAGGGATGTTTAAAGCCAGTTTTGCAGGTTGAATTGTTTTGTCACAGGCCAAGGGCAGCCTCTGAGGAGTTCATAGAGCACATCCTTCTCAGGGGCAGGATTTAGAAACTTCAAAGGGGACTGTGTTTTAGGGGCAGGGATCAGAGACCTCAGAGGGGACTGTGTTTTAGGGGTAGGGAACAGAAATTTCAGAGGACTGTGTTTTAGGGGCAGAGACCACCCATCACCCTGCGGCACTTTTAAGCAAGAAGGGCCCACCCAGGGGCGTCCATGCCTCGAGGAGCCAGCAGCTCGCTCTGCTACCAGTTTCCGCTACCGATTCCCGTGGTTCGAGTCAGCCCACTGCAGGGCCAGGGCTGAGCTTCTCAGGTCCAGGGAGATGCTGCCCAGAACAAGGGGACTTCTCTTTCGGCATTGCTTCTCTGAGCTGCAGAGGAAGGGAGCCTTGCACCTGAGCTGGGTGCAGAAGACTAGCCCGGGCTCCCCTGCTCTGTGGAACTCCTCCCCGACACCCCTCTCCTTCTCCACAGTGTGTGCTGGAGGACGGATGAGTGACCGCATCATAGAGTTTTGAAAATAAGGCGCCACGATGACGTGGGTCCCAGAGAGTTTCCACGGATGAAAGGCAATGTTGTTGATATTTACCACTTTGATGGAGATGGTTTGGCTCTGAGGAAGGATTCTTGGTAGAGGAAAAAGGGGGTGCCTGGTTCCCAAAGTGAGATTAGCAATAGATGATGGGTCTGTGAGGGTTGGGCTGGTTTATCAGCCAGCTGGATTCAGCTTCAGAGTCAATCAGATGCTCTGTTAAGGAGCAAACCCTCCCCTAGTAGGCGGGATGGGGGGAGCTGCACCCAGTCTGCCGTGAGCACTCTGTGCCCCCAACCCCAGACCCTACCCCTGTCCCCCGCCCCTGCCCTGCTCCCCACCCTGCTCAGAACCTCTGCCTCCACCCAGACTGGATTTAGTGGCAGGGTGGGAGGGAGCTGGGGTCTCTGAGGCAACCCCCCTTTCCCAGCAGCCCTTGGGGGCGCTGACGGAGGAAACCACCATCTGGAACCCTTCTCAGGGCTGTGGGCAGGCACTCCATCAGAGACTGATGCAGAGCAGTAGCCGAAAGTGCTCTGTGTCCCGAGTCCTTGAGCCACATCCCCCAGTGAAGGACGGAGGGGAGAGGGGGCTGACGTCCTGCAGGTGGGGTGGGGTGACCTGGCAGTGTCCCAGAAGGAAATTCCTCCTTTCACTCCCAGGAAACGACTCCTTTGATGAACACACTTAGAATCACATGGTTAGCTGACCTCGGGGAACGTGGGAAAGGGGTACCCAGGGCTGTGGCCCGGGCCTCACTGTGGGTTCCTGCAGAGGAAAGACCCCCCCCCCACCAGCAGCTCAGGCACCCAGGGGGCACTCGCCAGGTCTCAAGGAGAGGCGAGGGCAGCTGCACCCAGACAGAGCCCTTCCCGGCTTACACTTAGTGCCAGGCCACCCCCAGGTCGGCCTGGGCCTAGAACATTCTCTGAGCACTTCGGCCAGTGGCCGGGAGTGACCCCGTAACCCCGGGTCCCTTCCTCGTCAAGGTCCCCTCAAGGAATCTCAGAGGTTCTTTGCACCACAGCTGAGTGTCCTGAGGTCCCAGAAAGCACCAGCCCAGCAAAACTGGCCTCAGGGGCTGCAATGTAGGGGCACCCCAAGCTGAGTCAGTCCCAGATGTGGAAGGTCCCATGTGGGCTCGTGCCCTGCTGGCCCTCTCTGGCAGCTCCTGTCATTTCTGGGCCTCCAGGATGTTCCACACTGGGCCCAGGTCGTGAGCACCCTGGTTCTGTGGCCCAGGAGAAGCCATTCCTGTCTTGGTCAACACCCTCCTTCCATCCTAACCGTGTCTCTCTCAGGGAGCACCTGGCCAGCGGGGCTGACCGATCTCTTCCTTCTGTCCCCCAAGACGCCAGAGTCCCGCTGGAACACCCCACTCGTCACCCCAGCTGTGGCCACTTCATCACAGCTCTCATCTGCTCAGCCTCTAGCTGGACACAGGCAAGACAGGAGCCTGGACACGGGCAGGACAGGAGCCTGGACACAGGGCAGGCCCTAGTTTTGCTGGCCAGACTTGGCCCAGCATCACTTGGGGCTGGCCCATGGCCAAAGGGGGTGATTTCCCAAACCACTGAGAACCGTTTTTTCATCCACCATGAGCCGGTGTCCCTCTGCCAAGACCAAGTGTGGCAGGAAAATGTGACCCACAGGAGACAGTGACACAGGGGATTCATGATGGGGTCTGGCATGAGTGAGGCCCTCAGCCCCAGCCAGCAGGCACTGGGGCAGATCACACAGCTTAGGCACAGGCGGACACACGTGAGAAGGTTTGGGGCCTCACAGCGTGCCCGGCTCTGAGCACATCGGAGCTGATACCCGGCACCCCCTCGCCACCCCAGTTCTCTTCAGCAGAGCTACTTACATGACGACGAGGGCAGCGTCTCGGGAGTAATCCAGCAGGATCTCATTCAGCCTCACCTGACGCAGGGACTGTGCAAGGACAAGCACACGGTCATTCCCCCCCTCCACAACCCTGAAATAGGGTCCCTCATGCGCCTGACTCTGGGCAGGAAGGATACTCAATACTGCCTGAGGTCCCTGCCCGGCCTTAAGGCCAGAGGGGCACAGAAGGGCACAGCGCAGGGTACAAGCGGCCACTCTGGGGGCTGGAGACAGTCCAGGGGGCTGAGTGCAGGAGGCCGTGCTCCACCCCGGGACCCCATGGTTCCCCCAGCACTGCCAGGTGTGGCTTCCGAAGGCAAAATGAACAAACAACACCCCAACCCTCGGGGCGGGAGCGATAGTCCAGCAGGCAAGGCCTTGGCCTTGCGGGTGGTGGAGGCGGCATCATCCCGCCATTCCATATAGTCTCCTGAGGACTGCCAGGAGTAATTCCTGAGTGAAGAGCCAGGAGTCACCCCTGAACATTGCTGGGTGTGACCCAAAGAGAAACAACAACAACAACAGCAACAACAAGCATTAAAAGGGGGCTGGGGCAATAGTACAGTGGGGAGGGTGTTTGCCTTGTATGCGGCCGACCCGGATTTGATCCCCAGCATCCCGTATGGTCCTCCATGCACTGCCAGGAGTAATTCCTGAGTGCAGAACCAGGAGGAACCCCTGTGCATTTCCGGGTGTGACCCAAAAGGCAAAAAAAAAAAAAAAAAGAAAGAAAGAAAAAGAAAAAAAGCGTTAAAAAACAAACCAACCCGAAGCTTAGCCATGAGAATCGACAGCAGAGAGAATGGGCTTCACCACCAGCTTCCTGTGACGGGGGCCTGGCAGGGGGCTGGTGCACAGAGCAGAGGCCTCACGGGTGAGGGAGGAGTGCCCCGGTAGCACCCCCTACATGTCCTGGGCTCTGCCACGATCCCCATGTGGCTGTCAGCGTGTGAGTTCTGCAGAGGGGTCACTGGGACGATGGGGAGTGCCCTGAAACCTGGGTGGGCTGGGAGGAGAGATTCCCTGCCACCCCACTATTTTTTTCATTGTATTTTTGGTTTGTTTTTGGGGGAGCTGCACCCAGTGTTGCTCAGGGCTTACTCCTGGCACCATACGGGATGCCAGGGGGTGAATCTGAGTTGGCCGTGTGCAAGGCCTTGGCCTCAGTACCATCTCTCCAGCCACGTTGTTTAGTGATGACCGACACTTGGGGTTGGCCACGGTGGGCACCCTCACTCTCACCATAGAAAATAGGAGGGTGCTTCTGGCAGGAACTGCCCTGGGGGCTGGGGGTGTCCAGCAGCACCCCGATGTCTGTGACTTAGTGACAGCACATCTCCAGGGGTGACAGTTCAAGGGTCCCCAAAGGTTACTGAGTGTCCCCGATAGGCAAAGTCACTCCTCTGGGGTGGGTGGGGTAGGGGCAGTGGAACTGTGATTGCCCACCTTAAAATGACCCAGGGCCATAACGGGGGGTTCTGAGAAGTGGGGGTCGGGCTTTCGGCTAGATGTGGGGCAGGGTTTATACCTTTACAGGGAAAGGGGAGCCAGGCCGGGGACAAATTCTGCCTTGGGCGCCAACCCGGCCGCAGGTGTGGCCTCCAGGTCTGCAGTAAAGGTGGGGGGGAAAGGGAGCCCCCCAGGGGTCCAGGGCGGAGGTCTCGGGTGTTCACCTTCAGCCCCCCCTTGGCGGTCCCGAGTCAGGGTTCGAGACAGCCAGCCCCAGGGCGCATCTGAGCCGCACCTTGGCACGGTTCTTGCTGATCTCCTCATCCGAGATCTTCCAGGGACAGTCCCGCCTCAGCTCGGCCACTGTGGCCTCGTCCTTGAAGCCGTCGTTCAGGCGGAAGGGCGCGATCATGTCCTCGAACCGCTTGGTGCTGGGGGCGGAGAGTGGGTGAGGTTGCTAGGTGGGACTCTCTGCCCTTGGTGCCTGCTGCCCTCGAGCCCCCTGCCCCACCCCAGGGTGCTTACTGAGCGTGACTCAGTACTGGCCCCAGGGCAGCGCCACCCCAACTCATGGTCTGGGGTAGTGCAAGAGAACACCGTGCAGACCCTCAGCAGGATGCAGGGGTCTCCCCTGGGCAGCTGGGTGGGGAGTGGGGGCAGGCCGTCAGTCCAAGCGCGGGGCTGATCTAGCTCTGTTTGAGAGCACCCAAAGTCCACCATGGACTCAAGCAAGTGACTCACAGGTAGCCAAGACCTGGTGGAGTCACCTGGGCCTGCACAGAGGGGACGGGCCAGTGTTCCCCCCCCCACCCCGCACCCTTTCCAGGTGCTGAAATGTGGAACAAGACCCTGAGTAGACGAGGAGGTGGGCAGTGCAGTGAGGACGGCTGGGAGGGGGGAGGAGAGGAGAGGGCACCCCCACTGCAGGCGCATGGACCCCGGCAGGGGCAACTATGCAAAGTGGACATTGTCCCCTGAGGTCATGGGAAACTGGGCAGAAATGCAGATTCCCAGGCCCACTCAGGATCCGGGCTGGGGTCCCCAGCAGTCTCCTTGCCAGCCCCCCAGGTGTGCCTGCAAGCCCCAGTACTGGAGGAAACCAGGAATGGAGATGGAAGGGGGACCGTTTAGAAGGAGAAAACTTCCCCTGGGGGTCTCCTGCTGATCTGGAGATGCTGCCGCTGCCGGGTGGCGGGGAAGCCATGGCCAGGCCAGATGGGGCCACCGGCTCCCTCTGCCGCCAACCAAGTCTGTGACAAAGTCCCCAGTCCTGCTACCTTCTTCCCGTGACCCCACCTTCCCGTGACCCCATCTTCCTGAGACCCATCTTCCCGTGACCCTGTCTTCCCATGACCCTGTCTTCCTGTGACCCCATCTTCCCGAGACCCTGTCTTCCAGTGACCCTCCCATGACCCCAATCTCCTCGTGACCCCGTTGTCCCGTGACCCGGTCTCCCTGTGACCCTGTCTTCCATGACCCCATCTTCCTGAGACCCATCTTCCTGTGACCCTGTTTTCCCGTGATGCCATTTTCCCGTGACCCCACCTTCCTGTGACCCCCACCTTCCCGTGACCCTGTCTTCCCATGACCCTGTCTTCCTGTGGCCCCATCTTCCCTGTCTTCCTATGACCCTCCAATGACCCCATCTCCTTGTGACCCCGTTGTCCCATGACCCCATCTCCCTGTGACCCCATCTTCCCATGACCCCATTTTTCCATGATGCCATTTTGCTGTAACCCCCACCTTCCTGTGACCCCACCTTCTTGTGACCCCGTTTTCCTGTGACCCCCACCTTCCCATGACCCCATCTCCCCATGACCCTTTTTTCTCGTGCCTTTCCCACCAGCTCAGCAGAGAGAGGGTGATGGGCAGAGGGGTGGGTGCCCCCCACCCGTCACGCCGCCGTGGGCTCCCAGAACTCACTGCTCAGCCCGAGGTTTCTGGTTGATGTCAGGGAGGACGTGAACTTCATGGAAAGGCAGCCGGAACTTGCTGAGCAGGGAAATGATCCTGGAAGGAAGTGGAGAGTCTCCCAGGCTGCCCTGCCCCGTGGGTGGGCGGGGAAGCTAGAGGCCGCCCAGTCAGTGCTGTGTGTCACATGCAGAGATGCTGCTGGGTCCCCCCTCTGGGGGGGGGGGTGTCAGAGACACAGAGGGGGCACTGACGGGATTTCCTGCGTGGCTGGGGGCGCCGGGCTGCTGTTGGCAGGGGGTGGGGTGCTTGCAGAGCGAAGCCAGGGGGTGGTGGGCCAAGGAAGTCTGGGACCCTCGTCTAAGGGATGGAAAGGTGAAGCTTAAGCAATTCCTGGGGGGGATGAGATAGAAAACAAAGACGACACTGGTGGCCTAAGCAGAGTCTGGAGTCGCAATCCAGACGGAACTGGTTTGTACCTAGCTGTGGATTTGGAGAGCCAGGAAGGCTTCACAGAGGAGGTAGCCAGCTGGCTGGACAGTAAGAGTGCCACAAGCCAAAGAAAATGGGGTAGGGGTGTCTGCGTTGGCATCCCCCAGGGAGCTATCGAGGCGGTCCAGCTGCCCTGGCCCTAGCCCACCCGTCGCCGCAGACCCCAAGGCAGGACTTGGCTTGGGTGACCCGCGAGGAGGTGAGTCTGAGAGACGACACGGGAACTTGGGGACCAGGGTGAGAATCGTGGGGTGAAGGGGAGAGGAAAGAGGAAGAGAAGAACCCAAAGGACCAGGCTGGGGTCCAGCTGTCAAGCTCCGACTGGCCCGGCCCATGCCTAGCTGCAGCTCGGAGCGGGACAGGAAACTGAGTCGGAACCAGCTGTGACCTTCAGTCAAAGTGACCTTTGGGAGCCCTGAGAAGGTGGCTTTGACCTCGCCCAGTACCGCTCCCCTTGGCCTGGCAGGGGCCAGCAGGGCTGGGGACTAGTGGGGGGGTGCTGAGTCACCCTAACTCAGGCTAGGGTTGGGGGTGCTGGCGGGGGGAGGCGGCAAGGGCTCCTCCCAGCCCAGAGTGGCAGAGGCAAAGCCCTTGGGCAAAGCCCACCCACACCCTCTGACTGTCACCTCCGACCTTTAGCCCGCGGGACCTTGGCAGGGAGCAGCTGCCCGACGTCCTCCCCCACATCTCTGCCACTAGCCCGCCTCCTGCCGCCTGTCCCCACCCCAGTGTGACCCTTTTCTGCGGAAGTGCTCCCTTATTCTCAGTCATGTCACGAAAGGAAATGAAACAGCCCCACTTGAAACAGAAACTGCCCGTCTATTCAGCACAGAAACCCAGCAAATAGTGGGCAGTGTGCAGCCTCCGCCAGCTGCTTATGGGGCAGTGAGCGCCCCCTACCGGCCACAGCACTGCAGCGGGATGAAAGGGAGGGGGGTGGTCTCCTGGCCACTGTCCCCTCTGTCTCACCGGAGACAGCTACCAACCCTGGAGGACCTTGCCCAGCAGGAGTCTAGCACCCCCTCGTTTCTCAGGAGGAGGGGGCTTCATTCCACACGGATGCCCCTGGGGGCAGATCTGTGGTCCTCAAGTGCAATGTTCTGGGGCTGAAACCATACTGGGACAGGCAGGGCACTCGCCTTGCAGCCGGCTGACCCAGGCTCGAACCCCGGCATTCTCTCTGGCTCCCTGAGTGCCGCTGGATATGCCCCCCTCCCCCTAAAAAAAAAAACAAAGGGCTGGAGCAGTAGCACAGCGGGGAGGGCACTTGCTCTTCACATGGCCGACCCAGGTTCGATTCCCAGCATCCCATATGGTCCCCGAGCACTGTCAGGAGTAACTCCTGAGTGCAGAGCCAGGAGTAGCCCCTGAGTACCACCGGGTGTGACCCCCAAACCAAAACTGCCAGAGTCTTTTCCGAGCACGACAAGGCCTAGGGTGTCCATCTCTCATTAAAGAGGGACAGGACCCCTCCCCCCCAAGCTGCTCCTGCCCAGATCCCTGGCAGTGCCTTCGGAGAGCACTAAGGGGAGGGGGCAGGAGGGGTCCACTCTGGGAGACTGAGGCATCGCACGTCCTGGCGTGGGGTCCCCACTTACGCCTTTCGCTCCTGGTCCATCCTGTTGATTTGGCCCCCCACGAACACGCGGATCTTGCATTTGCTCCATCTCTTCTTGCGACTCAGGAGGTAGGGGATGAGGAGGGTGAGGCCTGGTAAGGAGGCACCTATGGGTCACGATGCTCTGTGCTTCCCTCCCGGTCTCAGTCTACCCATCTGCAGGCAGGACCCCAGCAGGCAGACAGGGACACTCAGCGCAGGGTCTTACACCCCAGTGAGTGGGCTGGCACTGAATTTATAACCAGGGCGTTGTGTAAAGGCCTAAAAGGTTGGTATTGCTTCAAGATAGAACACTTGAGCCGCGCATAGCTCTAATCTCTCCCCCCAAATCGATCACCTGTGTTTATACTGAGTAATTCCGCACATGTAACTTCACCCTCTGTGCCTCAGTCTCCTGATTTGTCGGGAGGGCTAACAGCAGTTCCTGCCCTGGGTGTACACCGGGCTTAGGAAGCCGTGTGAAGCATTGGGACTTTGTCTGCACCCCATCCGCAGCTGGGACGTCCCTAGGACACGCCCCACGCGAGCCAGCGCGTTCCTTCGTGGTTCAAGCAAAGGTCAGACAAGGACGTGTGGGTGCCCGGCTCTCGGCCGCGGCCAGGGCCGGAAAACACAGCTGAGTCATGTCACCTAAGAAACGTGGAAAACGGCACACTTCTTCGGGAAATAAAGAATATTCTGGAGTGGGTGGAGCTCATGGCTGGAGCACTTGCCCACCACGCGGGAGGTTCCGGGTTGGACCCCCAGCACCGCCAGGAAGGAAGGAAGGAAAGAGGGTCCCTGCACTGCCCCGTCCCCTCACATACACCCCCAGCTGAGGTCACCCAGGCTGGAGCTTTCATCCCTGCTGACCTCAGCTTCCCTGACCCCCAGAGAGCCCCCACTGATCCTCAGAAAGACCAGAGCCCGTGCAAAGGGGCCAAGGCAGCCGGGATGGGACCCTGGGCAGGGCTTTCTGAGCCGCGTGGACAGATAGGCTGGGGGGCAGAGCACGGGGCTGACTGAATGGCGGGAGGGGAGGGGTTGGGGGGGCGCTGACCTCCGTCATCGAACAGCCAGTAGATGTCGATGGTCTTCTTGCCCTGCTCAGCCTGGAAGATGGTGCTGGCCTGCTCCTCCCGGACCAGCGCTTCGGGGTCCACTGAGGGGCGGGGGGTACCCTCAGGACAGCGTCCACCAAGCCCGCTGGCCTGGCCACGCTGACCACACAGTGCCAGAAGTCCTCGTCCTCCCTGCTGGTGACTCTCAGGGGACACTGACACTGGCTGCTGTGCTGGGCGCTGGAAGGTGGGCTGAACAGGGCCCCGGGATGAACCCCAGGATCGGGGGAAGGGTGATGGGGAGATGGGGGGTCTTCCACAGGCCCACCAGGTGCTCTAGCTTCTGCCCTGGGGGTCCCCTGGTGGAGGGCCCGAGGAAGAAGCTTGCTCTGCAGTCCCTGCTGCTAACATTAGGGGGCGCCTCGAGGGGCAGACAGAGCACTGAGGGTTCCCTCTCCCCCCTGGGGTCACCGCGTGCAGGTTCTTAGCTGCACCCGGCTCACTAGCCAGAGGAGAGCTCCCGGGGGGCCCCCCAGCACCCTGGGACGTGAGGCGCCCTGAGGCGCGGGAGGGGCGGGACTGACGTGTGCCTGACATGGAGGCTCTGGCCCGGCCGCTGCCGCCGTCCTTCCCGTCCTCTGCTGGCTCAAACACGGGACTGACTGCAAGAGAAGGGGGCCGGCCCCACCCCTCAGGACCAGCCCCTTCTGGACAGGACCCCGGCCAGGAGTCCTGCGGCCTGTCCTCAGGCCCCCTCCTCCGAGGGGCCCTCCCTGACTGCACACCCGGACTCCTGGGTCCACTCAGGGAGTGTCAGCGTGTCCTGCCTCCTGCCTCCAGGGCACACGCTGCTGCCCCCATCCTGTGGTGGGGGCAGAGACTGCCCTGCACCCGGCTTGCCCTTGGCACTTGCTCAACTCTGCAGGGAGGACTCCCCCAAACCCTCAGCTCTGCACTCCCCCTACTCCCTCATCTCCGCAGGAGCACCCCCATCCCCTCAGCTCTGCCAGGTGGGCCAGTGTGGACTCCAAAGACACAGCTCAGAGGGCTGGATCATGGGTTCAAGCCTGGGCACTGCAAGCACCTCCAGGAGTGAGTCCCGAGCACCGAGCCAGGAGTAGCCCACAGTACAGATAGGTGTAGACCCAAATCAGGAAAGAAGGAAGGAAGGAAGGAAGGAAGGAAGGAAGGAAGGAGCGAGCAAGAGAAGGAGGGGGAGGGAAGGAGGGAAGAAGGGGAGGGAGGGAAAGAAAGAAAAGAGAAAGAAAGAAAAATAGAGAGGAAGAGGAAGGGAGGAAAGGAAAGGAGGGAGGAGAAAGAAAAAGAAAGAAAGAATGAATGAATGAAAGGAAGGGAGAGGAGAGGAGAGGAGAGAGAGGAGAGGAGAGGAGAGGAGAGGAGAGGAGAGGAGAGGAGAGGAGAGGAGAGGAGAGGAGAGGAGAGGAGAGGAGAGGAGAGGAGAGGAGAGGAGAAGGAAGGAAGGCAGGATGGGAGGATGGGAGGAAGGAAGGAGGAAGGGAGAGGGAAGGAGGGAGAGAGGGAGGGAGGGGCAGCTTCCTAGTTCCCGCTAGTTCCCGTCTCTGTCATTCTCTCCACATCTGCCTGTGCAGGCCATGGTCCATGGGAGCGAACGTCAGGCCCAGCCCTGCCTGGTGCCCCAGCGATGCTCTTGGAGGCCAGTGGCATCTGCTTGCAAGAGCTCGCGCAGACTCAAGAGCTCTGCATCCAGGCCCCTTCCTGCCCCACTATGGGCCACAGCCCCCTCCTCTCTCTGGCCTGAGGCCTCTGAGGGGTCAGCACAAGCTCGTTCCCTAGTCAGGGGTCTTCCTGGCAGTCTTGCAGCCCCGGGGAACACGCCTACCCATGCCCCCCTCTCTTCCCCCGCCATTGAGTGAAGATGGGGTTCCAGGGCCTCGTGGGGTGCACTGGTCCTCAGGTACTCACTGTGTGCCTGCATCACCTCTGAGACGTTGAGTCCCTCCCGCATCCTCAGGACACACACGCCGTAGTTGAAGTCAAAGGCATCGCTGGCGAGAGGGGAGACGGGTCAGGCTCCTCGGGCCAGCCCTGCTTGGTGGTGCCCCAGGGACGCCTGGGGCCAGACCTTGGCTCCTTCCTGCAGCCCAGAAACCGGTGGCCGGGCCTGCCCCACAGAGCCTTCTCTGGGCACGACACGAGCTCTAGTCTGGGCCTGTGCACTAGGGGGAAACCGAGCCAGGCTGGGAAAACCCTCACCCCTCTGTCCATGGATTGGGGGCTGGGGAGAGGGCTGCCGTCATGCTCAGGAATGACAGGAATGACTGAGGCAGAGCCCGAAGAATGACCTTGGGGGTGCAGCAAGGCATGGTTTGGGAGCTCGGAAGGTTCTCGGCCTGGGGCCTCCCTCTGCGGACCTCTCTGGATTCCCACCTGGGCAGACCTCTCCTTAGCAGACCCAGGGTGTGGGGCCGGGAGTTGGGGTTCTCACGCCTTCTGGGAGTTACCAGAGCAGCCCAGAGGCGTGGCTGAGACTCCCAGCTGCGGCTGGCCCACGGGAAGTGGGGCCTGGACTCCCTGCCAGCCCGCCGCCCCCTAAATGCCCCTGCGCGCTGCCTCCTCCTCTCTTCTCTTCCGGACCTGGCCGAGCAGGCTTGGGGGGTCACCTCAAAATTCCCAGGGAGTTCAGCCCCCGCGGCCCCAGACCTGTCACCCCCAGGGGGTCTGGCTGAGTCTCTGCTCAGGGACACCCTCAGAGTGAGCTCAGCCTCCTGCAGCCATGACAGCACCCAGTCTCCCTCAGAAACCCACATTTACTTCTTTATTTTTTTGCTTTTGGGGTCACACCCAGCACTGACTTGATCCTGCTTCTGCGTTCAGGAGTCACTCCTGGAGGTGCTCCAGGGACCATATGGGATGCCGGCGATCAAATCCAGGTCAGCGGCGTGCAAGGCAGAATATCTGACCTGCTGTACTATTGCTCTGGGCCCGGAAATGCCCCATTTTTAACCTCTTGGGGGAGCTAGGAGACGCGGCAACACCGTGCCCACACTGACCTGGGCGCAGCGGGCGTGAGAGTGTCCCCACTGCTCCCTCCTGCCCCAGCCTGGCTCACTTCACTGTCACCTGCCTGCCCCTGCCCACCTAGAAGCTCCAGGCCCACGGGTCTGAGTGGGGACGCCTCAGTTGGCCTCATTTCCCACGAACCAAAGACTCAGGTTCTCACTGCGCCCTCTGTGCTGCCTCTGCTTCCTACAGTGCCCGGAACCCAGACGGCTCAGATCAGGAGAACCGAGCCTGTGAGCCCCGCCCCTGAGCACAGCCCATGACCCTCACCTGTGGCCCCAGCCCATGGGTCCAGCCCGCGACCCCAGTCCATGACCCTAGTCTGTGACCCCAGCCCATGGACTCAGCCCATGACCTTCACCTGTAACCCCAGCCCATGACCCTCACCTGTGACCCCAGCCCATGATCCCAGCCCATAGGCCCAGCCTATGACCCCCAGCTCATGACCCTAACCTGTGACCCCAGCCAATGGACTCAGCCCATGACCTTCACCTGTAACCCCAGCCCATGACCCTCACCTGTGACCCCAGCCCATGACCCCAGCCCATAGGCCCAGCCTGTGACCCCCAGCTCATGACCCTAACCTGTGACCCCAGCCCATGGGCCCAGCCTGTGACCCTCGCCCATGACCCCCAGTCCATGACCCTAGCCTATGACCCCAGCCCACGAGCTCAGCCTGTGAGCCTATCCATACACACACACACACACACACACACACACACACACACACACACACCTGCTATGCCCTCAGGTCATGTCCCCATTTGGTACCCGCTGTGCCACCCCAGGCCTGCCCTGGGCCTCACTCACTGCAGGATGCCGATGTAGTCCTCCACTGTGGCTGGGTGGGCCGATTGCCAGTTCCTCTTGAAGCCCACCACCAGGATGTTGGGCTTCATTCTGCCCAGGCCCGAGGCCTGCAGGGGTGGGGGGAGGGTCAGTAGGAGAGCAGGGCTGTGATCAGCCCAGGAGGTACAGCCCCAGCAGTGTGGGGCTTTGTCTGCCCAACACCTGCCCCCAGGTGGCCCAGGCCCATACCCATGCATGTGGGGGACTGGGGTGAGTCCTTGCACAGCACAACACAGCCCTCCAGACAGATGGGGTGACCCCACAAAGCTGGGAGCAGCCCCGAGGACCTCTGGTATGGCCCCTGAAAATGTATATACGTGTATATATTTACTTTTCTCTCAATTGAGCTTTCTCTCACCCTATAAGTGTGTGTGTGTGTGTGTGTGTGTGTGTGTGTGTGTGTGTGTGGTGCGCACTGTGTTTTGTTGTTGTTGTTTGTTTTGGGACTCAGGGCCTAAATGTGTATGTGTATGTGTGTATGTGCATGTGTGTTTTGTTGTCTCATTTGTTCTTAGATTCAGGGTTTAAATTAAATGTGTGTATGTGTGTTTTGATATCGTTGTTGTTTGTTTGGGAACTCAGGGTCTAAATGTGTGTGTGTGTTTTGTTGTCTTGTTGTTTGTTTGGGGACTCAGGGCCTGCTCCTGGCTCCACACCCAGGGATCCCTCCTGGCGGAGAATCAGGGAGCAGATGTGATGCCGGGGATCAACCCAGGGTCAGTTGAGCTCAAGGCAAGCCCGGACTCACCTCCTCTCCCTCCGCCCCATCAATTCTCTCTCAACCCGAAAAACCAACCAAGAACTGCGTAGGGCGCCCGCCCCGGGTCCCAGGCCCTGCCGAGCCACGTCCTCAGAGGCGCCCTCACCGCCCAGCCCTCAGCACCTGCATGAGGACCTGCACCCCGCCACGCAGGTCCTCGGCCACCACGTCCGAGTAGAAGGCCTTGATCTTCCTCTTGTTCAGCCACTTGGTGTGGCCGTTGGCGATGAGCCGGAGCTCGGGCATCCGCTGTTTGCGGGGTCCCTGGTGGGGTGGGGGGACATCAGCGCTGCTCCCCCCCCAACCCTGAGACTCCCCAGCCCCCAGAGGAGGTGGGGGAGGGGGGAAGAGAGAGGGGGTTAGGAAAGGAGTTGAGAAGCAAGGGGTGGAGAGAGGGGGTCGCAGGGACGCAACTTAGCGGGGCCCGGCCAGGTCCCACCTGTCACCTTTGCCCTCCAACCTCGCCTTCCTCCCGCTGCCCCCCATGCCTCTGGGAGCCCCCCAACCCCACCCTCACCCAGGGGCACCCACGATCAGCACGTGGCCACAGATCATCAGGCTGAGGTTCCGGGTGAAGGTGCCCACGAAGTCCACCAGGGCTGGCCGGAAGTTGGGGGGCCCCGTGAGCACCAGGCACTGGGGGCTGGCAGGGAGAGGAGAAGGCTCAGGCAGCAGACCGCACCCCGGGGTGCAGGCAGGGTCCGGCTGCTGCCTCCTAGATGAGCCTCACACTGCTCCCTGCACCCTCATCTTTCCAGGTGGGATTCAGGCCAACTTTCCGGGTCTTCCCCTCTCCTGGACACCCTCACGTGGGATCTCCTTTGTGTCCCTCCTGCTCAGGTCACCGGAATTCTATAAGCTTGGTGTGTCACCTGGGGGGTGACCAGGGTTGTGGGCCATCACCTGGCACCAGGCAAAGCTGGACGAAATCAGTCCCTCTCCAGCTGTGTGGCCCAGGGCCAGTCACTGAACCTCCCTGAGCCTCAGTGGACCTCTGGGAAGAGGGTTGGCCATTGCTTCTACCTTGGAGGGGCTGGTGAGGCAGGCTTAGGTCTCCCCACACTGAGAGGGGCCCAGGCATCCATGAGCACTGGTTCTGCGAGGAGTAGGGGGAGGCCCGTGACCCCTCCCCCAGAAGGGGGTCAGTGCCTTGATCAGGGATGGCTGAGGTGGGTCCCCCCCTCCGCAGTTCATCTGCACGAGGCCCTGCTATGGAAACTGAGGCACACACAGCTCCCAGCACTGAGGCTGGGTGGGTCCTGGCCAGTGTCCAGCCATGTGGAGGGGGTCCACCCTCGCATCTGTGGCTGCCTGAGGCTAATGTCACTCACCCGCAGTATTTTCTGGGTTTTTTTTTTTTTGGTGTATTTTTTGGGAGGTCATGTTCAGGGTTGACTCCTGACTCCTGACTCTGTGCTCAGGAATCTCTCCTGGTGGTGTGGGGGGGACTGTCGGGGATGCCGGGGATCTAACCTAGATGGGCCGCGAACAAGGTCAGCGCCCTTCCCGCCCTGCTCACCGGTAGTTCTTGATGTGATCCTCCACCTCGTTGAGGCCCACGGAGTAGCTGAGGGCCATGTTGTAGGACCCGGCCTGCACGGACGAGCCCCAGTTCACCTCTGATGGGGACAGTGAGTGGGAGGTTAGAAACCGGGCAGGGGTGGGGCACAGAGGAGGGAAGGGGCGGCCTACTGTGAGCACAGAGCCCAGTGGGGGTGGGAGGGCACAGCCGACAGAGGGGTCCTAGCCTGCACAACCCGCAGGGCAGCCTGGGTCAGAGTTCAGGAGCAGCTCTGAGCGTGCACCCCCCGGCCAGGGCCCCCCGGGAGGGTCAGAGGACAAGCCTGGGTGGGGGTCCTGAGGCGTGGGGGTGGGGGACACACCTGGCTTCTTGTAGATGACGTAGAGCAGCAGGAAGAGGACCATGCCGATGGCGATGAGGGCCGCCCACCAGGTGAGGAGGAACATGATGAGCACCGAGACCACTGCCCCGAATAGTGCCGCCCACTTGCTGTAGTAGCGGAATGAGGGTCTCCAACCTGGGTGTGGGCATGGGACAGCGGGCACTCAGCTCCCATGCCGAGGCTACAGCCCCCATCTCGGCTGGTGCCCATCCACCCAGTGACAGCCGGAACCTGGCCGGGGGTAGCTTCCAACGCCCCACAGAGCTGGGGGTGGGGGCTGGGCGGATGGGCGGGCAGGATGCCGTTCTTCCAGAGGCTGGGCCAGGGACATCGGACAACAGCTAAGGGTGTTTCCGAAGCACCATGGCCAGCCACCAACTCTCCAGCGACTTGGGGCTGGTTTTATTTATGTAAAAAAAAAAAATTAGGAGAGTCTCCATGAGAATGAAGTTAGTCAGAGGGACGACTCATCTCATCCACAGGCACTGGTAGAGAAACTTAGAAGTGGAGAAACTAATGCCCAAAGGCAACAGAAACCAAAGTGCAGGAGAACTGGGCCTTCAGTAGGAGGCTGGCCACCTGGGTGGGGTGGGAGAACTAAGATCAACAAAAGAGATCCCCTAGGGCAATGGTGGAGGGAGGGAGAGGGGGGTGGCAGGGAAGCTAGAACACTGTTGGAGGGATTGGTGTTGGGATATTGTACCCTTGAAGCTTAATCATAAGGGACTTTGTAATTCACGGGGATTCAATTAAATATATGATGTCACGGTCGCGGTCCTCCCGTTGTTCATAGATTTGCTCGAGCGGGCCCAGTAACGTCTCCACTGGAGACTTTGTTGTTACTGTGTTTGGCATATCGAATATGTCACGGGGAGCTTGCCAGGCTCTGCCGTGCGGGCGAGATACTCTCGGTAGCTTGCCGGGCTCTCCGAGAGGGGCGGAGGAATCGAACTCGGGTTGGCCATGTTGGCTGCTTGTAAGGCAAACGCCCTACCGCTGTGCTATCGCTCCAGCCCTATTATATGTGTGTGTGTGTGTGTGTGTGTGTGTGTGTGTGTGTGTGTGTGTGTATTTTGAGGGGGTCACACTGTGTGGTGCTCATGGGTCACTCCTGACTCTGCACTCAAAGTTCACCACCCCTGGCAATGCAAGGGAGACCATAGGGACCAAATCCGGGTTGACCGCGTGCAAGATCTCTTGTCCTGTCTCTCCAGCCCGAGGGCTAGCCTGAAATCTTCTTGAAGGGCCTGGTAGATGGGTCAGGGCTGGAGCTCACGCTTTGTGTCCAGGAGCCCTGGGCTTGATCCCAGCACCACGTGACCCCTAGCACTACCAGGAGCGACCCCCAAAACCATCAGGCGTGCTCCCTCTCCAACTCCCACAAAAGTTTTCTTGGCTGTTATCCTCTGTACATTTTCCTAGTAACGCACAGATCTACACGCTCTGTAAGTGGCGCCCCCTAGCGTTGAACAAGGTCCAAGCTACAGCAACCTTATCAGGGCTGGGTTGGCGGTGAATCTCTTCCCTCTGGGTGGGGTGGGGAGTCGGGGCAGAGACCCCTGACTCCTGTGCAGTGGAGGCAGGGGTGGGGAGGGCTTTACCTTGGCTCTTCCTGATACCCTGTCCACGGCTCCCTTGCGCTCTGATGTGATCTGGCAGGTGCCCAGGGTCATTCGTTCCTTCCACCCCTCCCTCCCTCCTCCACGATGCCCAGGTTTGGAGCCGGGATGGTGGGGAATGGGGAGGGGTGCTTACCCGGTGAGTTGGTGATGGAGGCGTGGAAGCAGCTGAAGTTGATGAGGGCGTAGGAGCACAGGAAAAAGTTGGAAATGATGGGGGCGATGGTGTTGAGCTCGGCTGCGGGGACCCAGGGAGAGAGACAGAACAGGCTGGTGGGTCCTTTCTCACTCAGCCCCCGCAGGGCGAGGTGCCCCAGGCTAGTCACTGTGGCTGAGGGAGACTCAGCCTTCTCATCTGTAAAATGGGTCCATCACTTTGTGATGCGCGAAGGGCTTGAGATTTGCAAATGGCAAACTGCTGGCTTTGAAGAAGTGTGCTAGGAGGCGGTGGTGATGGCAGCAGGTCTTTGTTGTGAGCATAGATGATGTTAAGAGATGCATGACACGGCGTGACACCGGACACAGCCCTACCCTGAAGCCTAAGACTCCGGCCCCGGGCTCTACCCCAGTAACCCATGGAGTGTTCCCCAGCACCTCCGGTCGCTGGCACACGTGTCCTTGTCTTGGGCCTCCTCAAATGAGACAAGCGTTTCTTCCCTGTTGGTGACTCACCCTGACCCCAGAGTTTTTGAGGTTCTCAGACCGATGTCCTGGCTGGAGCACCAGGCTCCGGAGGGATGGGCTGGGGCAGGAGACAGAGATGGGCCTGGGAGCATCTATGTGGCCTAGAGGTGGGGGCCGAGGGCCAGGCGGGGCAGGGGAGGCTCCCAGGGGTGCAGGTGACTAGACCGTGGGGGTGTCCCGTGACTCGGTGATGAGCAGTGGGGCTCCCTGGGGCAGGAAGGGGCTGGGCCCCGGGACCCCCCCACCCTCTGCCCTGGGGAGCAGGGTCCAGGGGACCATCACAGGTTTGTGGGGTGGGGCTGCCTCTCCCCCAGTGGGGCCCCTCCTGGGCTAGTGGACCGGGAGCTCCTGGGGGCTGTGCTCTCTGCACTGCCTTAGCATTCCACCGCGCAGACGAAAAACGGTCTCAGGTGAGTGCAGGTTTATCTAGGTCTGGCATGTGGCGAGACCAGGAGAGAAAGGCCACCATCTCACTGGCCACCTGCCTCACTGGCCACGCATCTCACTGGCCACTGGCCTCACTAGCCACCGCCCTCACTGGCCACCCACCTCACTGGCCACCCAGCTTACTGGCCATCCATTTCATTTGCTACACACCTCATTGACCACCCGCCTCACTGACCATCCATCTCACTGGCCATTCACCTCACTGGCCACCCATCTTACTGGCTACCCACTTCACTGGCCACCTGCCTCACTGGCGACCCACCTCAGTGACTAACTGAGCTTTTTTCCCTAAACACCCCCCTTTCTACCACAGTCTCAGCTTGAAAGCTTAGGGATCTGAGGGATGAGGCTGCCCCACTTCTTTTTTTCTTTTTTGGGTCACACCTGGTGATGCTCGGGGGTTACTCCTGGCTCTGAACTCAGGAATCACTCCTGGCGGTTTGAATCACTCAGGGGACCATATAGGATGCCGAGGATTGAACCTGGGTCAGCCGCATGCAAGGCAAGTACCCTACCTGTTATACTATCACTCTGGCCCCTGTCCCACTTCTAAAGAAGGGGCAGTTCTCTGTCTGGGCACCACAGGTTGCAGGGTGAAAGTGTTCCAGCTGCCTGGACGTGGCCCCATGGAGAGTCACTCATGGCCAGGTGGAGGGCTCAGAGGGATGGAGTGCAGGTCTGAAGTGCTCAGGGCGCTGGGAGCCATCCCCGGCACCACCCAGCCTCCCAAAACATCGCCTAGTCCAGCCCTGAAGGCCTCCCCCAGAAAGGATCATTTGTGCCCATCACGGCAGGCCCAGATTCCCTGGGCACCGGGGAGCAGACAGAGGGGAGCAGACGGCCCGGCACTCACCAATGATGATGAAGGCCACGGCGATGGCATAGGCTAGCAGGTAGCCACGCACCGGCTCCTTGTTCTTGCCATAGCCTTTGCCGAAGAAGCCGATCAGGGGGTACAGCTGGTCCTCGCACAGACACTGTGGACACAGGGGCACGTGCTCACCCTGCTGGCCCCCAGCACCCCACCCCGATGATCTGGAGACTGTGGAGGGACCAGGGGAGGGGGGAGCCAGAGGGCGGTACACAGGTGGAGGGGTCCGGGGGGCTCACCCAGGGCGCTGGTGCTGCCAGCCTTCCCGTCCCTCCCCTCCCCCAAACACCCTTCCGCATCCCTGCAGGCTCACCTGGAAAACTTTGGCAGCAGAGACAAGGCAGGCCAGGGCAGAGGAGAGGGTGGCCCCAAAGATGCCGGCCGTGATCAGGGGTGCAAAGCCAGAAACCATGCTCATGGTCTGCGGGGACATGGGGGACGTGGGGGTCAGGGCCCCCATGGTGGGAGGAGACACGGGGCCTTGAGGTCCCCACAGAGTCCCAGCCCCGTTCCCACAGGTGGGGGTCCTGCTCCCCGGACCACGTGTCCCCACGTGCCCCTCCCCATGTGTGCCCCGCACCTGGTAGTAGTTGCTGAGGCCGTAGCGGCAGCTGTGCTCCCGGGAGCACTCGGTGAAGTTCCAGCCGTAGCCGCACGCCAGCCCCTCGCAGGCCCCCGCGCCTGGGCTCATTGTGTCATTCACGACCCCGGAGGCATCGCGGACCACGCAGGAGCCTGCGGAGGAAGGAGGGCACGGGTCCCCTCCTACTGCCCACCCTTCCAGTGCCTCTTCTCTCCCACCCTCCAAATGCTGGTCACTTCTGCAAAGGACGAGGGCTACTGGTGTAATGACGATGATGATGATGGGGTGACTGAGTTCAGAGCATGTACACACGCACACACATGTATGGACATATGCATGCATACACGCATGTATGGACACATGCATGCAATGTATGAACACATACACACACTTATACACAGACATGTGTATACATATATGCACATATACACTAATGCACACGTGCATACACATGTGTGCATGTATGCACAGAGCACGTGTACACACCCTTACACACGTATACATGCACGTACACACATGTACACACATGCATACACGTGTATACATGCTTGCACATGTACTTACTTACATGCACATGTATACACACATGCACATACACATGTATGCACGCACCCGCCTTCAGGAGCAGAAGTCTTGTGATCTTTGCTGCCACGACTCTACCGAGTTGCAGGGACCTTCAGTGATCTACACCCCTGTACAACCAGGGTTCACCGGCCCCCTTAATTCAGACACTGAGTCCCAAGCCCCACGCAGTGGGAGCCCTCTGTTCAGCTCCAACGTGACCCCAGGGCATGTGCACCTGGTGGTGAGAGAGAGGCAGGTCCCACAGCCCGCCTGGGCTCTAAGCCAGGCTCCACTGTGCAAGGGCTGTGTGACTTTGGCAGGTCCCTTAGCCTCTCTGAGCCCTCTCTTCCTCTCCTGTAAAGTGGGGGAAGTAACAGTCCCTGAAACGTGGTCAGGCCTGTGAAGGGCTGCGCGCGGTCAGCAGCTGGCATCGCCCGCCCTCCACCACCATTTCCATCAGCCTAGAGACCGCCTAGAACGGTCCCACGATGTTTCCCTGAACCCGGAAGAATCGGGTTTGACCCTCCGTCTTCGCCATCCCACTGGCCGCGGCTCAGATGCAGACACCGGGGCCCCCGTATCATCTGTGAGGCCCCATCCCATGGGCTCCGTGCACCCCCAGTCAGAGCTTCTGCTTGGAGAGCAGACCCCAGCCCAGGCAGCCACTCACCGATGGTGGCCGAGATGGCCAGGTAGGAGACGGTGGTCCAGAAGATGGCCATGAGGGTGCCCTTGGGGATGGCGACAGCAGGGTCCTGGGGGAAAGGGCACGTGGGTGGGCATAGATGTGTCGTGTGCATGTGTGTGCGTGCACGCGCCCACGCACGTTTGTGTATGTGTGTGTATGTGCATCGAGCAGCCTCTCCCCTGCCCTGCTCTGGGGCTGTGCGGGGGGACCCTTCCAGTCCCATCAGCACAGAGAGGATGCCCAGGAACAGGCTCCACGGGCAGGACACAGTCAAGGTCCCCACCAGGAGGCACAGCCTGCCTGGAGCCAGGGTCATGGTTGGGGCTTAGCTCCTGGGCACCCTGGTCAGTGCCCGGTCAGTGCCTGGTCAGCGCCTGCTCAGTGCCTGCCCGATAGCCCCTGATGCTGCAGAGGGAGGGAGTCCCGCACTCAGCTCTGCCCAGTGCCCGCTGCTCCGAGGGTCTGTTGGTGGCCCCGCAAAAGCATCAGTTCGCGGAGCTCCCTTGGAGAAGGGAAGCTGGGGGTGTGCTGGGCCTCCTCACACAGACACGCACGCACACACACACACCACACACACATACACATACATACATCTCACACAGACTCACACACATACACGCTTACACTCACATCCACATATACCACACACAGACTCACACATGTACCATATACACATATATCACACATAGACTGTCACACACACACATATACCACACACAGACTTACATACACACATACACATACACTACAAGACTCACACATATACTCACATATACTACACACACATATACATACTGTACCCACACACAAACATGTACGCTCATACACACCACACATACAAACACATACAAAAACACTCACTATACCACATGCATTCACACACACACACATACACTTCACAAAGATTTTACACACACACATACTGCACACACAAACACACACATACCACACACACAAACACACACATACCACACACACAAACACACACATACACATAACACACATACCACACACAAATATACACACATACCACACAAATCACTACCAACACATACACTCCCACACATTCACACATACATATACGTTATATGTACACTGTATACACTCATGCACATACCCACACTCACACATACAACACATAAAGATGTACCTCAAACACCACACACACACATACATCATATACACATCACACTTGTCATGCCATGCAAGCATATGCACCACAGGCATACACGTGCAGAGCACAATACCATACACACCTGCACACACATACACACACTACACATGTACATACACCACACATATATCATATGATACACTTTATAACAGACCACATACAACACACGTGCACACATACACATACACCACACACAGGTGACACCACATCCTCACCATAAATATATACATATGTACAAAAACACACACATGTGTAAGCACAATGCCACACACATGCGCTCATACCACCATGCATGTGAGCACGCATGGCACACTCAACACGCATGCCACATGCCTGCATGAGCACAGCACATCTGCACACATATGTGCCACATACATCGTACATATGCACGCATACCTCACGTGTTCACACCCACATGTCACACCCACGCACAGACATGCGTGCACACCCCACACAGCCCATCCTTCTAATTACCTTCTCAAACAAGCTTCCTGATGAGTGGTCAAACTCCCTGTGACAGGTGGAGAAACTGAGGCTAGCGTGATGCAAGCAGCACTGAGCCACAGTCACAGAATTCACACAGCAGCCTGCGCCCTGCCCAAGCACAGACCCCAGCCCAGGGGACCAGGCAGCTCCCCCAGGAAGAGGTAGACAAAACTCCCCACTTTCTTGGGACCCCTGTGGCTCGGGCCAAGGAAGAGAGCGCCTCACCTCAGAGACGGTCAAGCAGGCAGGGGTCAGCAATGGCAGGCCCAGGCCCTGCCCTGGAGGACCCCCGACCCGGAGGGAAGAGGCCAGGTGGGAGCCCAGAACACAAGAGGCGAATGGGGAGCCTCCACTCAGGACTCTGCGAGGCTGAGCTCGGGGCAGCTGAGGGGCCCTACGGCCTGCTGGGGGGTGGGGTGGGGTCTGCTGTGTGGAAGAAGGAGCCTGGAGGCCCAGCAAAGTGGGGGCACAGCACCGAGAAGGGGGTGGGCAAATCAGCTGAGCCCCCTACACCCCGTCCCACCTCCAGTGACTCTAGAAACGGACAGCCCCCAGAACCCAGGGATAAAGTTGCCCGGAAACAGGGTCTTGGCCAATGCCATTGGCCAGTGAAGATGGAGTCTCGAGCACCAAAGTGGACCTAAACCCAGGGACCAGCATCCTTAGAGGAAGCGGAAAGGATCCCAGACAAAGGAGAGAAGCCCCCCAAAGCAGGACAGAGAGTGGGCGGGGGAACTGCCCCCCCCCAGCTCAGGGCCGCAGGGGACGCGGACGGGTGGGCAGTGGGGACCGGCTCCTGCAGGGTCTGCAGAGAAGCGCCCACAGCTCTGCATATGTGTGTGTTTGTATACATGTGTTTATACATGTGTATATATGTGTGTGCATGCATGTATACATACATGTATATGTGCGTGTGTGTACATGCTGTCTGCATCCAACCCATTTCTGTACCCCTGGCTTTAAAGCTGCTGCCTTGTCCTCAGGGCAGTGGAGGAAGTGAGGACACCAGCCCCTGAACTCCTCCTGCACCCACCCTGGGCCTCACGTTTCAGGGCCCTAAGCCTGGGTCCTGGCCCGGCCTCTCATCTCCCTGAGTGTCCACCCTGTCGTGAAGTCAGGGCCACTCTGCACATAGCCAACGCCTGAAGCTGGGAGCTGTGCTCGGTGGGGTGGGCTGGCCCCGGGTGCACAGACCTGCCAGGGTCACAGAGGACCTCATCTCCAAGTTCCGTCTCCCCGTCTGGAAGCGGGTGGCCTTGCTGGGCCTGGCCCTTGTCTCAGCCTGCAGCCAAGGACCCAGACTCCCCAGCCCCGATGGCAGGGCTGGTCACAGCAGCACCTACCCCAGACAGGGGAAAACTGAGGCCCAGAGCCGCTTTCAATTTTCCGACTTGCATGAAGTCTCTGAGTCAGAGCTCCAGAGCTCAAAGCCCGAGCTGAGGACCTGGTTGGGATAGTGTGGGGGGCTTTGGAGGGGTCCCTCGGCTGGTGGGTGCAGCGTCCTGCCCAGTCTGCGGCGTCAGACTGAGTGGGGAGACTTTCCCACACTGGGGTGATCTCCCAGGTCTCAAGTGCTGCCTGCACAACCTCGGCAGAGATCGGATCGAGTGGCCCAGGCTGGTCTGCAGGGGGGCCGGGATGAGCTCACTCACTCTGAGGTCCCCGGAGATGTTGGCCCCCGCCAGGATGCCCGTGGCCGAGGGGAAGAAGATGGAGAACATCCCGAAGAAGCTGCCGTCCGCACCCCGCCAGTCGGGCACCAGGTTCTGGACAAAAATGTCCGCTGGGAAGACCAGGCTGAGTCAGAGATGTGGGGCCACTGGTGGCCCTGCCGGCCGCTCTCCTGCCAAAGCTGGATCCCAGGTCCAGGGGTCACGGACGGCCACACGCAGCGCCCGAGCAGGCCCCCACATACGTACCGTGGTAGCTGAAGAAGCCCTTGGAGGCCTTGTCCTCGGAAGGGGGGATCAGCGTACCCACCAGGTAGTTAGCGAAGGACACCATGATAACCAAGAAGAAGAGAACCTGGGCCTGGGGTGGGGGGTCGGAGGTCAGAGAGCACTCCCAGCAGGGAAGAGTCCTGGGTCCCTAGCCCCTTACCCACTCACTCATTCATTCATTTATCCACCCGCTCACTGATTCATTCATTCACTCACACTCATTCATACATTCCCCCACTCATTGATTTACTCATTCATTTACTCACTCATCCATTCCACTCATGGATCGATTAATTCACTCATTGATTCATTTATTCACTCACTTGTTCACTCACTCATTGAGTCATTGATTCATTTACTCACTCTGATTCACTCACTCATTCATTGATTCATTCCCTTACTCACTCATTCGTTCTTTCACCCACTCATTAGTTCATCCATTTATTCACCCGCTCCCTCACTCATTCATTCAGCGCCCACTGTGCTTTCATGCTCTGTTCCTGTCAGAGCAAAGCAGACTTTTTTTTTTTTTTTTTTTTTTTTGCTTTTTTTGGTCGCACTCGGCGATGCACAGGGGTTACTCCTGGCTCATGCACTCAGGAATTACTCCTGGCAGTGCTTGGGGAACCATATGGGATGCTGGGAATCGGACCCGGGTCGGCTGCGTACAAGGCAAATGCCCTCCCCGCTGTGCTATCGCTCCAGCCCCTGAGTGGGCTCTTGACTTGCTCACGGAGCAGGAATACGAAGCCTGAGGGAGGCTGGGGGGCCAGGGGATTAAGAGGAGCTGCTCTCAGGGGGCCTGCGGTGGGTCTCGGGAGAGCTGGGAGCAGATTTACCAGAGAGACAGAGTTAGTGGACCTGGGTCGAGTAGCTGCAGACCAGAGCCGCGGGTGGTGCGTGCCCTGCTGACCTGTCTCCCTCCCCCAGCCTGGCCCCTGAGCTCCCGCTCTGGCTGCATGCGCTTGGGGCTGAGGCCGGGCTCCGTGGAAGCATCCATGATGGGGAGTGGCCGGTAACCTGCCTGCCCACTGGCTTGGTGGAGGGACAGGTGATTGCAGGCCGGGTGGTGACAGGGAGGGTAGAAGCCCCCACCTTGGCCCCACCTGCTGTCAACTGATGGCAGGGGCGCAAGGCCCTATGGGGAAGGCATGGGGGACCCCAAGATCACAAGCCAGACAGCCGCACCCGCAGAACCCCATCTCCAGCCTGAGGGGCAGGGACCGGGCCCCTGACCCCAGCCCCCCACGGCGCCTCCTTGCTCACCTTGGACTCCCACTCCATGCCGGCCAGCGAAATGGCCAGCAGCACGGTGACGGTGACCACGCCGATGATGCGGATGTCGTTGGTGGGGTCCACGATGGGACTGCCGTACTCCTGGGGGAGGGGACTGCATTCCACCCTCCATCTCCCCATGCCCCCCTTGCCCATCTCTGGAGCCCCTCTCGGCCAAAGCCGTGCACGGGGGCCGGGAGGGCCTTGGCCGCAGCCCATGCACACGTCCCCACCCGCAGGACTAGATGTGACCTTGGGACCGTGGCCTCAAGGCTGGGGCGGGGCTGGGGGCCTGGCTGGGGCTGGAGCGCCAGTTCCGCTCACCTGGATCAGATCCCGCACGGTCTCGGCGAAGCCCACTGTGTGCATGGCCACCCCCACGGCGTTGGCAAAGGCAAAGATGAGGCCGATGGAGCCCCCGAGCTCGGGGCCGAGACTCCGGGAGATGAGGAAGTAGGTGCCACCTATTGGGGCCGGAGAGGGGAGACCGAGGTGGGGGGAGGGAGGGGCGAGCAGACGGCTGCAGCGGTTTGAGGGGGGACTGAAGGCTGGGGAGGGGGCGCCCACCGGACCCATGACTCAAGTCAGGGGTGGGGAGAACCTGCCCCAAACCTTCCCCCAGGATTCGGAGGAGCAGCTGGGGGGTTGGAGGCTGGGGCACAGATCAGAGTCTCCAGCCCTGGGGACAGGGGCCCGCTGAGGACAGGGGAGTTAGTGGATGCCCACCTGACTTGACCTTGCCGTTGGTGGAGATGGCCGAGATGGACAGGCCGGTGATGGAGGTGACCATGACGGAGAGCAGGATGATGACCCAGGTGAGTACTGGGGCGGGGGTTGCCCCCAGGACACAGTCAGGGCATGGCCCAGGGGAGGAGCCCTGAGGCAACTGCTGACCTGCCTGGGCACCCAAGTTCCTTCTCCTCTCTGAGCCTTGACTTCTCCCTTCTGAAAAATGGGTTTTTGCCTCCCTCCTGGCCCTGGAGGAATAGCAGGGAGCTCGGGCACCAGACAGAAAGGCTGGTGCGGGCGGGAGAGAAGCCCCCCGCTCGGATAATCTATCTATAAAGCAGGTGTGGCCGCTGGGTGGGCGCTTTGGGGGATGAAATCCTGTGGGGTTTGTAGGATGCACGCAGGAGGGCTGGGCACAGGCTCAGAGGGTGGCACAGCCTGGCACCCATAGGAGCCTGGGTCTATCCAGAGAGTTAGTTCCCAGTCTGATGAACGCAGTAGAAAAGGGCTCTGTGTCCCGGTGGCCCCTTGCTCCAGGTGTCTAAAATCACTGCCATGCCCCTGGCTGGACTCCACCCTCTGGGGATGGACCTTACACAGATATTAAAATTGAAAATTTTAGAGTTGAAAATTTGGGCATGTGGGTTCTGTGACTAAAATCTCCAGGCTCTCTTGGGGTTGGGATGGGCTACCTCTCCCCACTTCCCTGTACTTCCAGAAGCTCCGGCAGACAGGTCCACACCCCAAAGCTGCCAGCCAGTTGCAAGCCATGATGCACAAAAGGGGAGAGACAGACAGACAGACAGACACAGACACAGACAGAGATAGGCAGACAGACAGAGAAAGAGACAGAGAGAGAGAGAGAGAGAGAGAGAGAGAGAGAGAGAGAGAGAGAGAGAGAGAGAGCGCAAGAGTAAAGGTATCTGTTACCGAGGAAGACAGAGGTGGGGGTGGGGTGGGGGTGGGGTGGGGGTGGGAGGCTGGGAGGGAAATGGGGGACTGTGGTGGTGGGAAATGTACACTGGTAGAGGGATGAGTGTTGGAACAACGTATGACTGAAATTCAATCATGAACAGCTTTATGATGGTGTATCTCACTGTGATTCAAGAAATTTGAAAGGAAGGAAGGAAGGAAGGAAGGAAGGAAGGAAGGAAGGAAGGAAGGAAAGAAGGAAGGAAGGAAGGAAGGAAGAAAGAAAGGGGGCTGGAGAGATAGCACAGCGGGTAGGGCGTTTGCCTTGCACACGGCCAACCCGGGTTTGATTCCCAGCATCCCATATGGTCCCCTGAACACCACGAGGAGTAACTCCTGAGTGCAGAGCCAGGAGTAACCCCTGGGCATCGCCGGGTGTGACCCAAAAAAAGCAAAAAAAAAAAAAAAAAGAAAAGAAAAAGAAAAGAAAAGAAAAAAGAAAGGAAGAAAGGGAGAGACAAAAGTAAGGAAGAAAGAAAGAGACAAAGGGAAAAGGAAAAAAGAGAAAAAGAAAGAAAGGAAGGAAGGAAGGAAGAAGGAAGGAAGGAAGAAAGGAAGGAAAGAAGGAAGGAAAGAAAGAAAAGGGCCCCGCGATGGAGCTGCTTACGGAGGTCAGACAGATGGGATCCTCAGTCTGCGTGCCCCCCGTCCAAAGAACACTGCAGGGGCCCCTCTCAGCACCCCCTCTTGTCTGTGCCCCCGGACTGGCACTCACCGATGCCGGCCTGGGCTGTGATCCAGGGGAGCCGCAGGTAGAGGATGACACCCCAGATATTGAGCATACAGCGGATCTGCGGAGACAGTCAGAGCCCCGAGGCAGCACCCCGGGGGCTGGAGCTGGGCCTGCCACTCGTTTCTTGGATGGGGTTGGGCTCCAGAGTCCCCCTGACCTAGGGGCCACCCCGAGACCCACCTGCCTCTCCCCATCTCTCCTGGGCCCGCGGGTAGGCTGGGAGCCTCTTCATCCCCAGCCCTGGCCCCGGCACCCGTGGCCGGAGAGGCTGCATCTGGGGAGACATCCTGCCAATGTCGCCGAGCCCAGGGTGCCCCACGCACGCAGGCACCAGCAAAGATATCAGGGGGAGGGGCTGAGTGGAGCTGGGTGGTCATTGTCCCCCTGACCCTCCCCAGCCCCCTAATGGTCTAGTGTTGAGAGATTGGTTTATTTTTTTGGGGGGGTGGGTGGATATTTGGGTTACACCTGGAGATGCTCAGGGGTTCTTCCTGGCTCTGCACTCAGGAGTCACTCCTGGCGGTGCTGGGGGGAACATATGGGATGCCAGGGATTGAGCCCGGGTCAGACACGAGCAAGGCAGGTGCCCTCCCAGCTGTACCACCGCCCTGGCCCAAAGCTGGGGAGATTTCGACAGTCCTCTATCTGTCTGAGATGCAGAAGGGGATCTCGCCTGGCTCTAGCCCCCTCAGTCTGAGAGAAAGATCCAGACTTTGGATATGAGCCTTCAGGGGTAGGACCGGGGCTCACTGTTTGGGAGAAGAGACAGGGGCATGGCTAGGAGCTCTGAACCCAGCAGGGGAGGCCTGAGGGACACCAATGGGTGTGGAGAACCAGAAAACGGCGTGGAGGATCTCAGGGTTTACTGGTGCCCCCTGGTGGCCGTTTGGGGAAACAGTTTCCTCTGACCGCCAAGGCTGGAATCTAGCCACATGCTTCTTTTTTTGCTTTTTGGGTCACACCCAGCGATGCTTGGGGTAACTCCTGGCTCTGTACTAAGGAATTACTCCTGGCGGTGCTGTGGGGTATCGGAGGTCTGCTGCATGCCAGGCAAATGCCCTCCCTGCTGCACTATCACCCCGGCCACCCAGCCAAGCGCTTTAGTCCATCCAACGCTTGTTGCTACATAGATGAGGAAACTGAGGCACAGACAGGTTAAATAACCGGCCCAAGTTCACAGGACGAGCAAGTCCCATAAACACAAATATTCCCCCAGGGAAACATGAGGGTCAGGAAGCTCAAGAGCAGAGGGAAAATGGGATCCTTACAGAAGCTGGGGTGCCAAGGCCCAAGGCTGGATGGACCGGGTCACTAAAACCTGGGAATCGTCATTGAGCCGGGTGACTCTCTGTGCCCACAGCTCCCACACTCGGAACTCAAGCCCCCCGACTCCAGACTCACCATCACACCCTTCACCCAGCCGAAGCGCACGGGCTCCCCCGGCTTCTTCTCACCGGCCACGCCTGCCTCGTCTTCCACCAGCCCGTCAGTCATGTCATGGCTGGGCCGGCTGTCGAAAGCCTGCAGGTGGCCGCCTTCCTGCTAGGCAGGGGCCCAGAAGCCACTGATGGTCAGAACCTCCCGGCCTTCCTGCCTCCCAGACCTTCCTGACCCCGCTTTACCCCTGCACCCCACCCCTCCTGCTTGCATGCTCCCACAGACGGGGAGCTCATTACCGCTCCAGGCAGCCCACTCTTGCCTGGCGGGGGCTGCCTTGCGCCCAGACAACAAAGAAGAGTACAGGTGCCCAGTGCTTTCTTTACCGCCTCTACACCCACATTCCAGCCCCCGAGGAAGAGAGCGGTCCCCGAGGCACAGAGGGCAGGCGGGCAGCAGCTCAGAGAGGTTGGGCAACTGTGCTTGGGCCACCCAGCAGAGCACTCACCTTGAGGAAGGAGTGCAGGTCGGCCAGCGTGGGCCGCACCTTCCGGGGCTCCCCGGGCAGGGCGCTGTTGGCATAGTGCTCATAGGTGGGGACCACATCGATGGTGTTGTAGCCAAAGGTGCGCATGTAGAGGGTGCTGCTGCCCTGGGTCAGGTGGCTGGCGTGGCTGCTGTCATAGGCGGCGGGGGGTGGGGGCTCGTCGCCCCCCAGCAACGTGCTGATGGTGAAGCGCCCACTGCTGCACAGCGCGGGGTTCCCGGGCACCTCCACCTCCTGCAGCTCGGCCATGGCGGGGCTGGGTTGCCGGGGGAGGGGGCCAGGGTCGGCGGGGACACGCCGGGTGGCTTTTATAGGCCAGCAGGAGGCCGGACGCTGGACCCCAGCTCCGATGACAGAGGGCAAGCAGGGGGCAGGGCAGGGGGAGGGGCGGGTGCTGCCCCCGCCCAGCTGATGGCAGAGATAAGGCCCGGAGCCAGCCAAGGGGCCCGGAAGGGGGGAGCCCCACCTGCCCCTGCCCCTCGGGGGAGGTGCCTGAATAGTGCGGGGGTCCAAGCCGGCTGCAGCCGGACTCCTGGAGAAGCAGAGCTCCGAGAGCTCCGGCTGAAGCCCAGCTGGGCGCTCAGGCCCCCGGTGCTCGGTGTCCGCGTCTGTGCCCACTAGGAAGCCGTTGGTTCTCGGCCACATGTCTTTAGTTGGTTTGACTTCTGTTTTTTTATGTTTATTTTTTGTTTTTGTTTTGTTTTGCTTTTTTGGGTCACACCTGGTGATGCTCAGGGGTTCCTCCTGGCTCTGCACTCAGAGATCACTCCTGGCAGTGCTCAGGGGACCATATGGGATGCTTGGAATTGAACCTGGGTTGGCCCCATGCAAGGCAAACGCCCTAACTGCTGTGCTATCGCTCCAGCCCCCTGACTTGTGTTTTTGAGCCAGTTTGACACTTGACAAAGATCTACATGTGACCGGGAGGAGTTCGGGAGCCTAAGCACAGGCTCTGTGGCCTGCAGGAGGTTTGGGTTCCAGCTCCCCCTGGCCCCTGTGCACCGCCGGGAGGTGGGCTCAAACAAACGGTTGCACATGTGTCCGAGAGCCAAGTCTCAGTGCGCCCTGCGCCCCGACTCGGGGTCAGCATATCTAAACCGTGATGGACAAGGCCCTTCCCGGCCCTGCCCGCTGCCCTGGCAGAGCTGGGCAGGGCATCTGCAGCAGGGAGAGGCCAGAGATAGCCCGGGCCCTGCCCTGCTCACCCCAGCCCTGCAGTACTAGACACCCCGCTCTGGCCGGGCATCGAGCACCCCTCGGAGGCATGGGAGAGTTGAGGGGTGCGGTGGGCACCCTGGACACTGCCTGGGAGGACACTGCCCACTGCCACCAGGGCAGCAGTGTCAGCTCCTGTGGCGGTAGCCTGTCTGTGGCCTCCTGTCTCTGGGGGGCTCTGGCGACTGCTAGGAGCGAGAGTGGAAGGGACCCCTCTCCACGCTCCCCTTCTTTGTAGGGGGCGGGTGTTTGGGCCACACCCACTTGTGCTCAGGGCTCACTCCTGCCGGTGGTGCTGGGGACCACCCTGTTCCCTGCTTCTGGTCCCACCTAACAGCCTTTGCCACCCACCCAGCCCCTGGGACCAGGAGTGGCAGGGGGCTCTGGACCTGCCTCCAGGGTGGTGGGTGAGATGGCCCCTGGGACCCCTGCCCAGCTGTGTGTGGGTGGCAGCAGGGGTGGAGCAGGGCCTGGGGGTGGGCAGAGCTGGGACAGAGGCCCGGTCAGTCTTTTTTTTTTTTTTTTTTGCTTTGCTTTTTGGGTCACACCCGGCGATGCACAGGGGCTACTCCTGGCTCTGCACTCAGGAATTACCCCTGGCGGTGCTCACGGGACCCTGTGGGATGCCGAGGATCGAACCCAGGTTGGCTGCGTGCAAGGCAAATGCCCTACCTGCTGTGCTATTGCTCCAGCCCCGGCCCGGTCAGTCTTATGGCAGTACCAGCCTCCTGCCCCCTCTCGCTCAGGTGGGGGTCTCAGTGCTCGCGATGCTGCTCAGAGGCCGAGAGGGGGCTGCGACTCATGCGTCCCGGTCAGCTCACACTGACCATCCTGATTCCCCGTGTGTGGGAGCAGGCAGAGAAGGCAGGCCGAACACCCAGACCACGCGAGGGGGGCTGCCGCCAGGAGGATCCCAGAACTGCAAAGAATCGGGCATGGGGGTTCCTAGCTAAGTGCGTCCTTCTGGAAAGGGGGTAAGCTGAGCCCGCTCCACGGGCCCGGGCACCCCCACACCCGGGACAGCTGGGAAGGAGTTAAGTTTGCTGGAGGGGGCTGAAGGGCAACGGACACGCACCCCCGCCCCCGGTGTTCACCCTGGATGGCCGCTTCTCAGGAACCCTCATGCTCCTCTCGGGAGGGGGGGCTCTGCTCTGCAGGGCTGGGCCCCACCCTCGCAGGCCCCTGCTGACTCTCAGGAGAGGACCCCATGCCGGGGCAGGTGCCTGGTGCCCAAATCGCTATCCGCTTCACCCCCATGTGAGTCATTCATTCCCTCCTAGGGCTGGGGGGCAGATCTTATCACCATGTCCCCTCAACCTGCCAGGACGGGGCAGTCACCTCTGCCTGACCCCCGAGATGGTGCCTCCAGGGCCCTGGAAAATTCCCGATTGTGATCTCGGGGAGGAATGGTGGAGGGGTGGGGACGGGGAAGCTGTCGGGTTGATGGCCCGCAAGGTGCCAGTAACCTTGGCCCTGTCCCCTGCCTCTCTGTGGGCCGTGGGTTCCAAGCGGGTGAGAACAAGCCATGGTTGCCTTGTCTCAGGGCCCAGCACCACAAAGAGGCGGTGTCTGCTGTTGTGTTGGGGGAGGGCCGGGTTGGGGGGGGGAGTTACTGCTCTCTATAGAGGCTTGCAGCTCACAGACCTTGGGGTGGGGGGGGGTCCCCTGCCAGGTTCTTCCCTCTAGTCCTGCCTTCCAGGACTTCCTCCCCAAGGCCCCCTCCTCCCTAGCCAGGTTTGGGATGGCAGCGCTTTGGGGGTCGGGGACCTGGGCCACCTCTGGGCCCCCGCGCAGCTGAGCCCCAGTTCCCACAGCTGCCAAGGGGAACATTCCTGGGGGTCGTGTCAGTGCCCTGGAGAGAGATCAGGGGCTTGTCCCCACTGTCGGAGAGAACAGGCCGGTGAGACCCAGACACGGCTGACCCTGTGTGGGGGGCAGGTCCCTGCTATCTCTGGCTGAGCTCACAGCCTCAGCCTCGACCGTCCTCCTGCTGGGCATCTGGCTTCGCTGGGTGGGGGCCAGGCGCCTGGCGGGGGGTGGGGGGCATGGTGGGCTCGGCAGGACGGGCGGGGAAGAGGTGACAGAACTGGAGACTGGCCGCCATGGGTCATTTCCTCAGTCACACATTTATTGCACGCCGACTGCATGCCTGATCTGGGCCAGGCAAGGGGTATGGGGACAAGACCAGAGACCCTGCCCGCACGGGCTCACATTCTAGGGCAAGACACACAAGGCAGTCACAGCAGGGGTCTGGGTGCAGCCTAAGGGCTCTCTGAAAAGCTGGCCTGAGTGGCTGGGGCAGAGGACTGGGGTCTGGCGGCGGGTGGTCCGAGCCCTGGTGGGGGCCCAGCGGGCATGTGATGACGGACATAGCTCTAGAACTATGTCCCCGGGCTCTACCCATGGTGCCCCACCCTGGCCTGAGCCCCACTCCCAACCCTACGGTCCAGTCTACCGCACACCCAGGCTAGACTGGGGGTCTCCAGGGACCAATGTCCCTCCTGAGACCAGAGGCCATTAGGTGATATTTGACCAATTTACCCATGAAGGTCAGGTCTCAGTTTCCCAGAGTGGACCTGGTGTGGCGAAAGATGGAGAAGCAAGGGCCAAGAGGTGTGGTCAGAGACCCCCAGGCCAGGATGCAGAGCCCATTAGGGGTGGGTACTGCGGGTCCTCCCAGGCCAGTGAGGGGCGGGTACTGCTGGCCTGGCTGGTGGGCCAAGGGGTCACTGTGTCTGAGCCAGGGCCTCAGCGGGAAGCCAGGAGAGGCCCAGCCTGTGTTCCAGGAGAGCTGGCCCAGATGGGGTGAGCGAAGAGACTGGGGGGGGGGGGGGGCGTGAGGGCAGATAGTAGCCGGGCTGGGGCCCAGGGCAGGTCCTGCTGGCATCATCAGATTTGGGGCCAGTGAGGGGCAGGTGTCAGGTTTGAGGAAAGCACCTCCCCGTTGGCCATCCTCCCCGCCAGCCCCCACGCCCGCCCACGCCCACCCACACCCGTGCAGCCTGGTCCCACGAGGCTCGTCTGCAGAGGATGGGTAGGATGCAACCCTGGTGTCGTGAAATAGCCGGGTAAGAGGATGCGCTGCTCGTCGGCCTGATTCACAACACCAGCTGCAGCAACCATACCAGAAATCGGGCGGCTTCTCCTTCGGTGCGGGTCCCGGTGAGATGCGGTGAGCGGGATGGGAGCCAGTGATGAGCACGGCCTCAGCAATGAGGACAGCAGAGGCTGGAGGCTGGTTCCTGCCCCCTAGGGGCTCACAGACTTGATTGGGGGAGGGGAGCAGACAACAAGCATCTGAAACCTACCAGCACACGGAGGAGGGGTGGCGCGGGTGTGTGTGTGTGGGGCGGTACCAGGCCCCACCGGGGAGGTGGGCAGGGCCAAACACTGACTGTAAACCCCAGGCCCATGGAAGTGGGGTGCACCTGAGCCTTGGGCCAGCCCCCTTCCCCCCAGGTGTGTGTCTCCCACAATCCCTGCTCCTTCTCTCTAGACACCAGTGTAGGTAGCACTGGATTGGAAGTTCTCTGAAACTGTTAGCAGTGAAAGCAGAAAGAGACAGCCTGATGAGTTACTGTGTTTCCATTTCAGGGGCAGGGAGGGATCTCGCCCCTTCTTCCTGGAGAGGCTCGCTTACTTCAAAAGAATCCTATTTCAGGGACTGGAGAGATAGGGCAGCAGGGAAGATGGTTGCCTGGCATGCAGCTGGCCCAGGTTCGTGCCCTGGCATCACATATGGTCCCCTGAGCCCTGCCAGGAGTGATCCATGACCACTGAGCACAGCCGGGAGGGCCCAGAACAACATCAGTAACCCCCTCCGAATCATCGTCTGGGGAGAGGAGAGACAGATGGACAACAGGTGGGGTGTGTGCCTTGCGCATGGTGAACTGGGCTCCGTTCCTGACATCCCACCTGCCCCCTCCAACCCCCCACCCCGGCCCTGAATTCCTGCCAGGAGCAAGCTCTGAGCACTGCCGGAGTGCTGCATGCTCCCCCCTCCTCCACCCACGATTTCACAGTTCTTCCTTTGA